GAGAGAGAACAGGGATGTAGTGCAGAGGAGGGTCAGTGATACTATGGTTTTTTTCTTGTGTCCTGTCCCCTTCCTCTAGGACTCCTCAGCCTGAAAAACCCTCTAGCCAAATGAGCTTCCTCAACCGAAGAAGCTTCTAGTTCTTGTCTCCTCACGCCTTACAAGTTCATCTGTTTTTAATGTTATGCCCCATTCAGCCTATGCGGTTATGGTATTTTCTGTTCTGAACTACTTGAGGGCATCTGTCATGGACCTTTGCCTCTAAATATTTCAGTATGCATTCCCTAAGAATTGGGATGTTCTCTTACATTCCTCAGTAGATACCACTAATTATATATACTTCAACTTACTGTCAATATCAATTTTACTTTGTATAATTAGTGTCTTAAAATTTTTTTATTTATTTTTGTATTTTATGTGTATGTGTATTTTGCCTACTTGTACGTATGCATTCATGGTGCCTTCAAAGGTTACAAGAAGGTATCAAATCCCCTGGAACTGGAGTTGTAGATGGTTGTGAGCTACCTTGTGAGTGCTGGGGTCTGAACCCTGGTCCTCTACAAAAGCAACAAATGCTCTTAACCACTGAGCTCTCCAGCCCCATAGTGGTTTTTTTTTTTTTTTTGTAAGAAGAGTTTTATTGAAGTATAATTGACACACAATAAACTACATGCCTTTAAAAGATACAGTTTGTTTTGATATCGCTATATCTATCTATCTATCTATCTATCTATCTCTATCTACCTACCTACCTACCTATCTATCTGTTTATCACCATAAAACTATCACTATAATCAACATGATAATCAAGACAGCAAACATCCACTCACTCCAGAGTTTACTGATGTCCTCCAGCCCCAAATGGAGAACTTAGGTTCCTCAGCTGTCACTAAGAGACTTGGGAGTTGTAATTTTGGTTTTGTGCCAGTCTTATGAGTAACGTTTAATTTGCATTTTGCTTATACTTGAAATTAAACACTTTCTGCTATGTGTAAGGATTTCTTAATGTGTGTATGTATTTCTTATGAGCTACCCTTATTGGCTCATTTTCTATAGAATTTTTTACCTCTTTGTCCTGTTATTTGAAATTCTTCCCCTAGTGTGATATCTGTGATTGATGCTGCAAAAGTGTTCAGTTTGTTCTTTTTCCCTGTGCTGTTTATATTCATGTAAAAGTCTTTCAAGTAAGGAAGAACATCAGTTTTCTTTGTTACATCAAGATTTTGAGTCAAACTTAGAAAGCCTTCTCGGCACTCATGTTTTCTCCTACACTTAGTTTTTTTTTTTTTTTTTGTTGTTGTTGTTGTTTGATTTGTTTTTAATTTGTTTGAATTTCTGGAGCACTTGGAAATTATCCATATATAGATGTAATTTTAACATCTATATTTTTTTCAAATTCCTGTATAATAGTTATAATTTTGTTCTATTCCATTGGATAGTCTGCTTATTTATAACACAGTCTAATTACAGACCTTTACTAGTTATTATTTTGATATCTCATTGAAGAAGTCCCTCTTCTATTTTCAGGTTGTTGTTATTTGTTACCACAATGAAAGAAGTGTTACTTGTTTTTCCATGTTTGGCTTTTGATCTACAGGATTACTTTGAGTACTGTTGACAGGATTGTGTTCTTTCTGGCTGAGTAATGCTCCATTGTATATCTATACCACATTTTGTGTATCTGTTAACCTGTCACTGACACTAAGGCCGAGTCCCTAACTTGGATGTTGTGGGGTAGTGCCTCCATAAACATGAGTGTCGTAGGCAGCCTGACTTTACTTCTGACATCATTGTATTAAACAGAATAACCAGACCCAGAAAGACAAACATTTTCTCTCATGTGTTTCCTTACTAAGTCAGGTATGATATTTGATTTTTTAAAATCAGTAATTTTAGGGCAGCTTGACTTGAGGAGTGGGAGTTAAATGGTCTTACCTCTCCTTCCTTCTGAACTAGACATTGGCTCAAAGGCAGGCAATGAGATCTGTCTGGTAGGGGACCAGGAATTTTCCTTTTTCCTTTTTCCTTTGCCGTTCTATTCCACTAGCATCGTTCTCTGCCTCCTGGTCAATCTGACACTGTTTTTCGGAGGACTCATGAGCTCGTTTTGAAGTGGTAGAGCATGTGGTCCTACTCCTGCAGTCATCCTCCTTGCTTCCCTCTTTCCTCACTTTCTCACCCGTGCCCAGCCTCTCCCCTGTGCCCAGCCTCTCCCCTGTATCACATAGAATTACACGTACTTGAGCTAACAGTTGGTTTTCTCTCTCCTCTCTCCAGGTACCTGGCGTCTTCCTCGTCTCAGCCCAGAAGAATAAACCCTTAGACTTGGGGAAGTGAGCCAGGCAAGCCGAAGGCAGCCTTGAGCCCTCCCCTTGCCTGCCCTCCCCTGTGGGGGCCAGGATGCTGAAGAAGCAGTCTGCAGGGCTTGTGCTTTGGGGTGCTATCATCTTTGTGGGCTGGAATGCCCTGCTGCTCCTCTTCTTCTGGACACGCCCAGCACCTGGCAGGCCCCCCTCAGACAGTGCTCTTGATGATGACCCTGCCAGCCTCACCCGAGAGGTGATCCGCCTGGCCGAGGACGCCGAGGTGGAGTTGGAGCGGCAGCGGGGACTGTTGCAGCAGATCGGGGAGCATTATGCTCTATTGAGCCAGAGGTGGAAAGTGCCCACTGTGGCCCCTCCAGCCTGGCCCCACATGCCTGTGACCCCCTCACCAGCCGTGATCCCTATCCTGGTCATTGCCTGTGACCGCAGCACTGTCCGGCGCTGCTTGGATAAGTTGTTGCACTATCGGCCCTCAGCTGAGCATTTCCCCATCATTGTCAGCCAGGACTGTGGGCACGAGGAGACAGCACAGGTCATTGCTTCCTACGGCAGTGCAATCACACACATCCGGCAGCCAGACCTGAGTAACATCGCTGTGCAGCCAGACCACCGCAAGTTCCAGGGTTACTACAAGATCGCCAGGCACTACCGCTGGGCACTGGGCCAGATCTTCAACAAGTTCAAGTTCCCAGCAGTTGTGGTAGTGGAGGATGATCTGGAGGTGGCACCAGACTTCTTTGAGTACTTCCAGGCCACCTACCCACTGCTGAGAACAGACCCCTCCCTTTGGTGTGTGTCTGCTTGGAATGACAACGGCAAGGAGCAGATGGTGGACTCAAGCAAACCAGAGCTGCTCTATCGAACAGACTTTTTTCCTGGCCTTGGCTGGCTACTGTTGGCTGAGCTGTGGGCAGAGCTGGAGCCCAAGTGGCCCAAGGCATTCTGGGACGACTGGATGCGCAGACCTGAGCAGCGGAAGGGGCGGGCCTGTATTCGTCCAGAAATTTCAAGAACGATGACCTTCGGCCGCAAGGGTGTGAGCCACGGGCAGTTCTTTGACCAGCATCTTAAGTTCATCAAGCTGAACCAGCAATTTGTGTCCTTCACCCAGTTGGACTTGTCATACCTGCAGCGGGAGGCCTATGACCGGGATTTCCTTGCCCGCGTCTATGGTGCCCCCCAGCTACAGGTGGAGAAAGTAAGGACCAATGACCGGAAGGAACTGGGGGAGGTGCGGGTACAGTACACTACTAGAGACAGCTTCAAGGCCTTTGCTAAGGCCCTGGGTGTCATGGATGACCTCAAGTCTGGTGTCCCCAGGGCTGGCTACCGGGGCATTGTCACTTTCCAGTTCCGGGGCCGGCGTGTCCACCTGGCACCTCCACAGACCTGGGATGGCTATGATCCTAGCTGGAATTAGCAGCATCTGCCTTTCCCTGCTGGGTCTCCTTGCCATATCATGAGTTGAGACAGGCGTGCAGTCCCTGGGCTATACCATCCTGTCAGTGGTTCCCTCTTGGGTCTATAGATCTTCCTTTTTTCCGCTCCCACCCCCCAGTGGCATTCTAGTGCACAGATCATAAGATGAGGGTTATACTCCCGTTGTCAAGGGAGTCATATATCAGGAGAACTATTGTGTGGTGTATTTGGGGGTATTGAACAAGAAACCACTGTGTGGTATGGGGAGACTTGGGCTTGTTGGGGCCAGGATGTCCTGAGTTCTGCCGAAGGGCATCTACAGAGAGCTTGGCAACTCCAGCTCTCTCCACCAGGCCTGTCAGCCCTGAGCTGGCTCCTGTCAGTGTGAGCCCACCTTATGTACCTACCCCTTCTCCACCTTCCCCCAGTGTGGGGCTGGGCTATGGAAGAAGGAATGGGTTTGTGGCCAAATGAGACTAACCAAAGGGGTTTCACTGTCAGGGTCAGATTGGAGTTGTTTGGTGCCAGGGGTCCCTGCCTCCTGGCTTCTCTTATTGCTGACTCTCAGTGCTCTTTCCTGCTGCATAGCAGTTTGTGCTTGGGAGATGGGAGTGGAAAGGGAAAGCAGGCCTTCTCCTGGGTTAGAGCCAGCTGTCAAGAAAGGTGTCCGGAGGAAAGCCTGTACTTGGGCACCCCTCTTCTTGCCCATGGCCCCCTCTTTTCTGAATATCAGTTCCCTCCATGTTGTTTGGGAGGATAAAGTGCCAGCCAGGTGGAAGACAGTGGACTGACTTCTGTGCCTCTTTTCTCCAGAGGTCTGGGGTAGAGGCTTCTCCCTGAGGGGTGGCTCTCGGTGGCCATCTCAGAGCTAAGTACACCAGTAGCTGAGACCGGGACATCTCTGACCCCAAACTAGCTCCTGTCCTGCCTTCCTAAGCATTCCCACATCTTTCCTGGCCAAGATGCAGGTAGCAGGTTGGAGAGAAATTTGTGTGTTTTTGTTTGTTGCCTGATCTTAGTTTCATGGAAGAAAAATGGAATCTACAGAATTATTTTCAAAAATAAAGTAAAGGCTGAATTGTCTGAAAGATATGTGTCTGTGTCCTAGGAAAGGAGGTAAAAAGTGGGGTTGGGGGGCAAAGGGAGAGAGTAAAGTCTACAGGAAAGAGCTAGACTTGAGGGAAAGAAAATGAGAAAAACAGGGTGGGTGGGACCAGGGGTAAGGCAAGGGGGAGTCAAGGATGGCGCCAGGGAGGGGAGCAAGGCCAGCCTGTGGGGAGGCCCCAGGCTGCAAGCCTGCTGTTCATCTTCAATTGGCTATGGGCTCCTTGGTTAACAAGTGGCTCTGGAGTGGTCTGCAAAATACCGTGGTGTCTAAACCCTTGTAGGAGCTGTCTTGTGCCACTTTGCTCACTCAGCATCTACTGGGCACCTCAGCAAGCTGCCCATGGATCCAGGGTTTGCAGTGGACATAGGGCAGGCTATGCACTGGCATTTCAGACTCCTGATTGTGACCTCAGTGAGAAGACATTTATACCCACAGCACATCTGTCCCACCCTCAGCGTTTACTGAAATTTCACCCATATCACAAGCAGCACCCTCTGAGAAGTTTTATTCCCCACTAACTAATTTGTATGTGTATTTATACGTGTGTGTGTGTGTGTGTGTGTGTGTGTGTATGCATGCTCATGTGTGTGCAGATACACATGTGTGCCTTTTCATGGAGTCCAAAGGTCAACCTCATGTCATTCCTCAGAATACTGTTACTTTTGAGACAGTCTCCCAATGGCAGAGAACTTCCCCATTATGCGAGGCTGGCTGGCCAGTGAGCCCAGGGATCCACCAGTCCACCTCCCCAGTGCTGCCATAATTGGCCTTTTTACATGGGTTCTGGGAGTTGAACTCAGATTCTCTTGCTTGAGCAGCAAGTAACTTATTAGCTACCTGCCCCCCCAGCCCATTTTTTTTTCAAAGTGATTCTTGAGAACCCTGAGTCTGACTGTATGACAATCAAATTTGGATCTGGCCACTAGTGGTAGCGATCACTGGGAGAAGTGGGGGGTCAGTGACTTTGTTTTGCTGCTCAGGAGTGCAGACTAAAACAGTGGAATCCGTTTCACCCATCTTAAACTTTTACATTGTGGCCTTGGTTGTGTCTCCCCTTGATGCTCTCAGATGGATTATTTAATACCAATTTTTTGATTTTGAAAGGAGATAGTCCATTGTTTGTAGCTATAGACACAGGGGCTGGAAGAGGAGACACAGCATATCCCTGACCATTGAGTGGGAAGTCGTTTGTCCGGACTTGATGTTCTCAGCATACTTAATGAATGTATTTAGCAGTCCCTGGCCAAATGCTTTGTTCGGAGCTCTGCCAGTATTGTGTTGCTGCTGTTACACCAGTGGAGGAGCAGGCACAATAGGGGTGAACTTGATCAGGGGTGCTTGGGGCAGACCCGGGATTTGAATGGAATGTATGCTGTAAACAGCGGAGATACAGGATGTTCCGTTCCATCCCTTAGTGCCTTCTTCAACACCCCTCCCCAGCCTCATTTGGCCCCAAGGCAGCAGGTGGTACTAGACTTCCGGAATGAACAGCCAGTGGTCTCCTACCCTGGATGGTGGGTGTGTTACACTGAGTCTAGGAAATACAGAACATGAAGAGGCAGAAGGGGATGACTTCAGGCCCGCCAAAGTTGTACAGACACTTAAAAACAGCCTGGCTTCTCGGGTCTTCCTCGAAATGAGGATTGCCTTTTTGAGGTCTCTCCGTATTCTGTTTACTTTTGAAGTATGCCCCCAAAGAGTCAGCTTGCTGCTTGTCAAGGCACCCTTGAGGTTCATGTGTGCATAGTTGACTAGGAACCCCGATGTTCTCGTGGAGGACCAGTGGGTGTACCGGCTGGAAGACCCCGTGGTGGTAAATACTGCAGAGTCCTGTTACCCTGCAGTTTAGAGATCCCACCGGCTGGAAAACCCCGTGGTGGTAAATACTGTAGAGTCCTGTTACCTTTAGGTTTAGAGATTCCACAGTCATCCCGAGGTCGCCTCTGCCCTGGTGCTTTCCTGCTGTGCTTCTGCTTTTGTCTCCCAGCACTTCTTGGTCCACCCACTGCCATCCTCATGCCCCTTCACTCATGACTCTGATGGCTTCGGGATAGTCGTCTTTGTCTTCCATATGGCCTAGCCCTCTTATCTGGGTCACATTGACATCTTGTTTGTGGAGTGAGTCACCCAGTGTAGACAGATGTATTGGATTTAGTCTCTGTGGCAAGGCTTCTGAGTCTTCAGTAGACTGCCCCATCTCTTCCCCATCTGATCCCTGTCGGGTGGGTTGCCAGGAGAGCTGAACCTCTTAGGGAAGACCAGGAGGGTGGGAGTTAGAGGGTAATTACAGCACTTGACTGAAAATCTTACTTTAAGAATGTCTTTTCTCTGTCATTACGTATTTATTTTAGGAAGTCAAAACAGATTGCAATAATATCCATGCTTCTTTACCAGATTTATATTGTGGTGTGGGATCCTACCAGACCTTTCTCACGCAAATAGAACATTATTTATCAACAAATTCATAAAGTTCTGCAAATACTTAGCTTATATAAGTTTACATAACTAATAAGTTTATGTAACATAATGTTACCCTCATTCTTAAGAAATATGGGTCTCAGCCTTCCAGGTGGGAATTTCAGAGCAGCAAGTGGTTTGCTACTGCAGGAGCCCTTGGGCCCTGTTTTCTACACACTTGGCTAGCCTGGACAATTCACAGGGAGTTTGTTTGGAAGCAGAGGTTAGAGGCCCTTTCAGGTAAGGGATCAAGTGCCATGTTCTCTTGTCCTAAGGCTGGGAGACAAGGCATGGTGGGCATGGATTACCCAGTGATGGGCCTGAGCTGAACCCTGCACTGGGCCAGTGTCTGTATGCCTCACTCCAGAACAGACCTTGGAACCTGCCAGGGTTTCGTCCTATGAGGCCAGGACGGTAGTACCCTCCGGAAGGTTATGAAGATGATTTCATGTGTACAAGCAACATGAAGATAGTCCCGTGGGAATTGTCTCGTGTTTTCCTTTCCCAGTGCTCACCTTGGTTCCCCCGCTCTAGGCCCTCACACCTTCACGAGTTTAGAAGGCTGAGTGGCCGTCTTAGAAGCTGTGTGCATGGGCCCCACACGGTACTGAAGTTGGTGTGCTTTGCCCTGCTGCCTCCCTTCGCTCATTTGAAGTCTGACCCTTTCTACTAAAACTGTAAGTGACTCAGAACTAGAGTGAGCTGCACACAACAGGAAATTTGGATCTTATGAGAGAGAGGGGCTGGTGAGATGGCTGATCAGGTAAGAGCATATACTGCACGTGCAGAGGACCCAAGTTCAGTTCCTAGCACCTACATCAGGCAGCTTACAGTCACTGGTAGCTCCAGTTCCAGGGGATCTGACCTCACGCTTCCTGGGGCACCTGCACACGTGTTACATAGATGTATACAGGCACAGACACATACAACTAACACAAGTCTTTCAAAAAAGAGAGAGGCGGGTGATCTAGGGCTGGCTTGGTGGCTTCTGATGTCATCAGGGCTACAGATACTTACATGTTGGTGTCACCCTCCTTAGCATGAGGCTTCCATTCTGGGTGTCACTCCTTGGCTCTGAGAGTTCCAGCTGTCACCCAGGTTAGGCTGGAAGAAAGGAAGACAGGCTAAAGGAGGGCCAGCTTCTGTTTCTGGAATCTGCAGCCAGCTCCTGGTCACAGGTCCATGGCCACAAACAGAACACACAGACATGCTCTCGGCAAAGGAGACGGAGAAAGTAATTTGCCAGCTAAACTGACGTTTAGTCAAACTAGAATTCCTACTGCTAAGGAAAAAGGGAGCGAGGTGTGGGAAGCCATCGATGCTGTCACACCTGCAAGGCTAAAACCAGCAACAGTGATCGAGGGTTCTTGGAGAAGGAAGGGTAATGATGGTGTTGTGGAAGTGCATTAAGAATCCTGACCCAGAGAAGGGCAAAATTAAGCTTCCTGAAACCCTTACTGGGTTCTGTGAGAACTGTCCTATCATGGTGAGGCCTTACCAGGGTCACACGAGTAGTAGTCTCATGGTTTTACCTTATTGTTGTTGGTTTTTCAAGACAGGGTTTCTCTGAATAGCCCTGGCTGTCCTGGAACTCTCTGTAGACCAGGCTGGCCTTGAACTCACAGAGCCGCCTGCCTCTGCCTCCCAAGTGCTGGGAATAAGGGCGTGGGCCACCACCGCCTGGCAAGAGTAGTATTCTTAAAGCTCAAACACATCCACAGAAATGCTGACTGACAGGCACACGCAGTGGGATGAAGGAATCATCTTCAACCTACGGCTCTAGGGTCCCCGTTCAAGATGGATCTAGGCATCAGGACAGAGTAAAGGGGAGGGAGGACAAACAGTCCTTCACCCTCCCACACACATGCACACACATTCCATTCTTTAGAACTTAGCCCAGGGCTCTTAGTTGCAGATCAGGGAAATGGAGTCTCAGCCTCCCCACATGTGTTCAGCTAAAACTCTTCCCTAGCACAGGCATAGGCGGGGGAGTGTGGTTAATGGCCAGGCAGTATGCGTGAGTATGGAGATAGGGCGCCTTTGCTCAAATACCTCTTGGGAATGTAATTATATCTCAAGGTTTCTGTTTAAGAAAAAGGAAGAACTCAGACCCTGGGGTGGGTGGTGAGATCAGACCCTGGGGTGGGTGGTGAGAACTCACCAAGACCCTCCGTACCCTTCCAGAGGAAGATGCCAATTAGTACACACTGTGGGAACAGCTGCCTCCATCCTGCATGAAGCTGCAGCAGGAGTCAGGCTGCGTATATGCCAAGTTAGGCTATTGAAGGCCCATTAGTCCCTTAATGTCACCATATCAAAATAGTAGACACAGATGGTTTCTTTTGGCTCAGGATTTGGAAGTTCCAAGTCTAAGATGGGCCACTCTGATGGCTGTGAGCACTCTGATCCATATCCCTGTGAGTGCTCACATCTCCAGCTCAGGAGCAGACCAATGAGCTAGGCCTGGGTTCTACACCTCACTTGGGGAAGCCAGCGCACCTCCAAGTGACTGCAGATCTCCCACAGGCTCCATCACTGCCCAGACACCACCCTGGGGACCAGGCCTTTTACACAGGGCTTCTGGAAAGAATCCGACATTCAACAACAAAGCTTGTGTGACTTCATGATTTGCTTAGAATCTTGGGCTGAAAGCTCCACAGTAAGGAATCTCACTTCCCTGAGAGACTCTCACTTCCCTGAGAGCATCTCACTGGAGAGGCCCGATGGGGTGGTTGGCGGCCGGCAACAGCATTTGGGGCTTCTGTGAGCGAGCCATCCTCGATACCCAGTCCTGTGGAGCCTTGGGAAACCCCAAGCCTAGGCTGACATCTAACTACAACTTGGTGTGAAGTGGCAATTACCTGGCCAAGCCCTCCCTCAATTTCTACCCCCCAGTAGCAAAATAAATGATTAATTTTAGTTGCTAAGTTTGAAAGTAGTTGATCAGTGAAAACAGTTACTGGTTAGAACTCTTCTTGGCTGTTGGGTTCTGTCCTTGAAATGGAGAAGTCTTTGCAACCAGAATGGAATGCTTAAACAAATATTTTGAAGATAAGAATTTCCAAACATTTACTTATTACTACCCAAGGGTGAGTGTGGTGTCCGTTCTTTTACTAAGGTATAAATTATCTTTTAATTAAAGGGTAGGAATATTATTTTATTCACCCCTAACTTTTTTCAATTTTGCATTTAAAGTATTTTTCAAGTTTTTAATTAGGAAAATTTAAGCCCATAGGAAATTGAAAGATTAATGCCAAGAAGACACACAATTCTTCTACAGAGGTAATACAAGAATTAATATTTTGTCACGTGCTGTCTACATGCACATTATACACACACCCTTTTATCTGTCCCATCAATAGGTTATAGGGCAAATCTTTTAAAAATAACTTTTAAAATTGATTAAGTTCCATATGGCACCATGGGTTTCTCTGGTGTTTTCATACATGTATGCCATGATACTTAGCTCTTAATCATCCCTCTTCTCTGCTTCCCTCCCCCATCCCGCCTGCCCCCTGCTTCTAAGCAGTCTTCCACTTTCAGGGCCTCTTATTCCAGTGGTTCTCAACCTCTGGGAGTCAAACAGCCCTTTCACAGGGTCACATATCAGATGCCCTGCATGTTAGATATTTACATTACAATTCATAACAGCAGCAAAATTATTATGAAGTCGCAACGAAATGATCTTGTGATTGGGGATCATCAAACATGAGGAACTATATTTAAGGGTCGCAGCAGTGGGAAGGTTGAGAACCACTTCCTCACTCTGGTACTCTCACTTCCCTCCCCAAAAGTTCTCTTCCTCTTTTCAAAGGTCATGGTCCCCTACGCGCCTGGCTCATTTTGCATCCCGTAACCATCTGCAGCTGTTGACTCCACTCCAGGTGTCATGATTTAACTTTTTTCTTACAGCTGATAAACTGCATTGTTTGTGCGCACCGCCTTGCCTTTGTGCGGTCACCTGTTTGATGGGCATCTAGTGTGGATATCGCAGCAGCAAACATGGATGTGCGAACACCTGAGGGATGCAGACACAGAATCCTTCAGTTACGCATCCGGGAGCCACACAGCTGGGTCATATTCTTCTACTTTCAATATTTTGAGTAACTTCTGTACTGACCTCTAGAATGGCCCCAGCTCACACTTCCACAAGCACTGTACAAGGGGTCCCGTCTTCCCACCCCCACCCCACCCCCACCCCCGCATTTCTCTTCCTGGTGAGAGTCCTTTTGACTGGGTGAGATAAGATATCAAAGCAGTTTTACGTTGCATTTCCTGCTGGCTAAGGATGTTGAGATTTCAAACATTTTGAAGTATTTTCTGGTCATTTGAGTCTTCTTTGGAGTACTATCTATTCAGACCATCACCCCATTTATTGATTGGATGATGGTGGTGTTAATTTTCATCACTTACTTACAAATATTTTTAGAAATCTGTAAGTAATGTGCTAATTGTTCTGCCATTGTAAAAAAAATGTAGAAAATTAGAAAGAAATAAAAGTCATTAATAATTTCACTTCCTAGATTAATTTTTAATTTAGGTATACTAAGCAAGTGTGTGATCAGACTTTGGTCTTCATTAGGCAGGAGTGCCCTCTAGTGGTAACTAGGAAAATTGCACCAGATGGGAATTTTTCTGCTCAAGGTCCCTTGGTTGTATTGACTTTTAGACTCGTGAGTTTCTGAAACTGATGAAGATCCTGTTGACCCACACCCGGGGCTTCCATCCATTATAACAGCTGCCTTTCTCTGCTCCTGGCCTGGCAGCTCTACACTGCAGTCAGATGGCCCGCACATTGAAGTCAGTGCCTTTCTTCCCCAGTGAGCGGATGTCTCTGGTTTTCCTAGGTTCTTTCCCTCTCTGTCAGTTTGTCCTTCCTGCCCCTTCCTCCACTTACATCGTGTCTTATGTACACATCATACCTTCTAGGACTTCTGATACAATTTGCTCTCGATAGTTTTCAACCTATCCACTTTGGCCTCTTTGCAAATTAGCACACCCAAGCGCCTGCATTTAGAAAATGAAGTCTCTATAATACTTTTAAAATGTGATATGTCTTTTCCTCACAAAATTAAAAGCAATAAAAAGACCCTACTTACATCACTTAGAAACTGTTGTTTGCGAAGACACAGGCAGGAAGCTACACACTTTCTGCAAGCAGTATTCTCAACTCCTCCCCAGGCAGTCCAGAGAGCACTGAACCACACCTCACACACCACACGGTGAGTCCATTTGTCATGGTATGCACGAATAAGAGCGAATCTTCCTCTCAGGATAAACGAATAAAGTCATTGTCGTTGTGACAAATCTGTCAGGAAGAGGTAGGGGGTTATTTGTCCCCGTGGCAAGCATGTGATGAGTCAGAATGAAGAGAACAGGCATCTGGACGTTTAGGAAAGTGTCAGTCCAGGGTGGGCTGGAGTGCAGTGACAAGAACTGGGTGGATCTCAGGGTTTGGGGCCAATGATCGTGTTGCCTTGCCTTAGCCAGCTGCTTCTCAAGAGCCTCATGCTGTGAAAGGTGGAATGTTTCCAAGCCCCTTTCTCATTTGGGGCATCTGGAACACCATGATGTGACCGGCTTGTGAAATAAGATTACTTCTGACTAAAATGTAGCAGTGTCAACTAGGGGGAGGATGAGATGGTGGATGGTGCTGAGTGAAAATGCAGCAATTCATTCGATGGAGTATGTTAGAAATTTTATCTGGGAGATGGGGGTAGATTCTTATCTGCCATATTTATAGTTTTCTCATGTCAACCTATAGTAAATGGGTTAATGCTTTGAAGACATTTTTTTTTCTCCAAACACATAGCAACAAAGTATAAATAAGAAAGGAGATAGACATATCTCTGGTGAAGTATTTTTTTTAAAAGTATCCAGAACAACACACAAGACAATGGCACCCGGGACTTGCTCCTCATGTCCAGGAGACAGTGGACTAGCATCTTCAAAAGGTTCAGAAAATTTGTCAACCTTCCTAAATTTTAGATTTGGCCAAAATTGTATGTGTTAGTAAAGATAAATTCATAAGCCAGTTTCACATGCATAATATCTAAGGGGCTTTGTTCTCATAGATTCTCAATAAAAGAAACAGTACAGGTTAA